CCATTGGTCAATAGGGATAGAAATGGGCATCATATGGGCAGGGCCGCCCAGAGGTTTCCAGGGGCCCGGGGCAAAACTAAACCGGTGACCCCTTGAGGCCCTTTGGAGGACCCCCTTGGGACCCCTTGATACGTGGGGCCTGGGCAGATGGCCCCAATTGCCACCACCCCCTCTTGGCGGCCCTGCATATGGGTGCAAAGGAATCATTGGGGGTGACCGCCCACTTTATTTTTTGCACCACTGCTGCCTACCCAATTTTTTTACCCACGAGCCGCCACTGTTCATCACAACGCCCTTCCTCCGATGCTCCGGAAATCAAATATGACTGGAATGGCCGGAAGTGAGAGCCATAGACAGACAGGGAAAGTGCTAGAGGTTGCTTCTTTTTATAGCAGAAGCTTTCCGGTTTTAATCCTCAGGTTAAATCCTCTCCACAGGCGTCTGTGACGGAGGAGGGAGAAGCAGAAAATAAAAATAAAAGAATTTTTTCCCGAACAGGTTTCTTGCGTTGTATTCAACAAATACGCTACCGTGTAGTATGGTCAATCCCACGCATGAAATCAATTGATTGCGGCCGTGCTTCAGGATGAGATGATTGCGCTTCTTGGAACTTGTTCTCAAATAACAAAAACTCTGGGGTTATGTAAGTTTTTTTTATTATTGTATCTCCCTCATATCCGCTTTCATTCCTTTTCCCTGGAAGTGGAGAGGATCAGGATTAGCTCCCCTCTTTAATCCTTAAAGGTTGACCATAGTTATCTAACATCTTAATTGAAAGTGGCTTCGTGCGACATCTTTTCAGCGCCACTTGAACCACTGCCATTCCTGATAGGAATATAATCGACACAGAAGCAGTTCGACAAGAAATGCTATGGCACAGAATGGCATCGACACGGAAATACGTCGACAGAAATAGACCGAAACAGATCTGCTTCGATAGATGACTTTCGAATTTATACCGACAGGGAACAACATCGAAAATAACAGCGCCGACAAGGAATTACCTCGACAGGATTTTCTCGTGTCGAGATACTTCTGTGTCGACGTTGTTCCTGTCAAAGTCATTTCGTCGTTCGCAGGTGACGAAGCAGTTCCGTGTCGATGCTATTCTTTTCGATGTTATTCCGCGACACCGCCTTAACGATAATGACTCAGCAACCAGAACTTCTTTCAATCATTCTTCGTCCGACTTATGCCGACTCAGTATTGCGAGTCTTCTTGGGTACTCATTCACAAATGTCTTCGTCTTCACCCGTTCATGAGGGTGCCGAGCGAACACAAGGAGAAGTGTTCGGATCTTAATTCCCATGCCTCTTCAAAAGTACCTTCACCGTGGTCACAAGTGTTGAGTGCATCCGTCTGGATAGCGGCAGGACGTGCGATATCTTCACCCCTCTCATTTCCTCGCTTCGATGCCACGATTCACGTTATTCCTGCTCTCTTCCGTAACGAAGGGTTTCGGCTCGGTAGTAGATCGAAACGAAGAGTAGAATCCTTCCGAAGCGGACACTGAACTGGGCGGTGGGATGGGGAATCCCGGAGGAGAAATCCCAGAGCATCCAGTCCTACCTGAGCCGTTCGGCCCGAAGCTCATCGTCCCACGGATCCGAGCATGATCCCCCGTCACGCGTTTCACCTCCTCGTCGCCACGTGAGCCTCTTCTCTCGCTCGTTCGCTTCACGAGAGCCCATCCCCACGGCGATCGTCCACGTCGACGATCGGTGAACGAGGGAAATGCACGACTGCTCTCTGTAGCGTAGTGACCGTGAATTTCGTGGAACCCCAGTCTCTATTTGCTCTTTCCCGTTCGTCTTTCCGTTCTCCTTATCGATAGAAGTTTGAGGTCATCGAGACGGGAAAATGTCAGTATATTTTTCCGATTCAGTGTCGAGTCGAGAGAGAGGCAAACCCAAAAAGTGGAGGGGGATGGCACGGACTGGGTAGCAGGCATTCAGTGTCACCATCTTTAAGGTACCACCATCATCTCTTCTCCAGCCTTCCTTTGGCACCTGTCATCATTTTCTACGACTTCGTTCGTGGGATTCCTAGTTTCGTTGTGGGTGACGTATAGTGTCTCCACGAAACGATATTTTTTATGATCGTCGTGCCTGGAGGAGCTTTCGTGGAAGTCACATTTCCCTTTCGATTGAATTCCTCCAGACCGGCATCGCTATCTCGCGATTCGTTCGTGCAGGGACTGGTCCAACTCATTCCCCGACTGGGGTGGCGTCGAACCTGGGAAAAGTACCAAATAAATATTTTCCCATTCGACCGGTATTCCGGCATCATGGTATATTTCCGACGTATTTTTGTAGCCTCCAAATTCCGTCCAGAAATGTATGCAACTCTCCTGAGAAGTCTTTCGATAGGTCTTACGTCACTTTTTGCGAGGAAGCCACAATATACCAGGAAAGCATAAGGGGACGACACGGCAATCCACAAAGACAGTGACATGCTCCCTGGTGATGTGAATGGATCTCAAGAAATTCAATGCAAAGGTGCGGCCATGGCTTTTTTTTTAATGCCTGAGACTGGTCGTGGAAGTTTAGTTCATCATCGATGATAATGCGTAGGTGTTTGATTTCACTCATGTGATGATGGTGACATCCTTGGAGATCAGGTCTAAGAAAGAGCGTTTTCTAATGCCTCTCTCGTGAAAGACAAACTTTCTGAACTTAACTGGGTTTAAGATTAGATCATTCGCATCATGTAGAGAGGAGAGGTTATCGACTTCTTTCTGGTGAATTTCGTGATCTATTTCATTTTCAATGATGGCCTCCATACTTTAGGAAGGTGGAACTGGAAGAAGTTGAGCGGAAAAGGCTCGTTATGTTGATGAAAAGGAATGGGGATAAGATACCGCCTTGAGGGACACCAGTAAAGATGGATTGCTTGATGGATTGTCTTCTTCTGGAGACAAAAGAAATTGAGGGATGTCTGAGAGATAGCTATGAATCAGTTTCAGGAGCCAGGACGGGACTCGATCGCGGTTCATTTGCTCCTGCACTTCAGTCCTGATGAAGCCTGATGAGTGGTCGAGCAGTAGACATCTGACAATGTTCTGATTCTTAGCATCAAGGGCTGACGTGACGACGCGAAGGAAGGTGGCAAGGGGGTCGGCAGTAGATCTGTTTTTCTTGTCTTGCCAACTGACATGGATTCGTGCAGCATGCATCGAACCGAACGATTGGATCGAGGAGGAAGTATTCGAAACACTTGTGTATTGGGGAGGTGGAGCAGACAGGTCTTTCATACTTTTCTCATTTAGGCGTAGTCTTCTTCGGAAATGATGTCATTTTCACAAGCTTCATGAATCTTACAGTAGAATGCATCCGGACCCGATCGAGTTGCCGTAGAGTAGTTACGGGTGCAGCAAGTTCATCAGCGCAGGTTTTTAGAAGCAGGACTGGCAGCTCCCTGGGTCCGGTTGAAAGAGTTTTCTCTTGGGGTCGAAGAGGGAGGTATGATCTTGGTTTCCGGGAGTCCTTGCTTGGAACCGACTAACATCTCAAATCTTACTCCACAATTCCTTCTTGTTACGCGAGGATGTTCATTTCTCATCTCGTCCTCTACCTTTTGAGTTTCAGATCTGCTGAAAATAAGGCTCTCTTTTTGTTTGTAGGATAAGACAAGAAAGCAGGAAGGTGAACGACATGTTAACTATGGCGCGACACTCCTGGTGTGATAGGGCCATGCCTGGCTCAATCACATGCCTTTCATGATTCCCATGTCGTTAAACGAGGTTAAGTAGTTAAATACAGACGTTCTACCTATTTGCCAAATCGCCACTCGACTACTTCAGACCTACCAAACGCCTCGTTCTAATTACTCTTTCGTGATTTAGCCTATCGACGTCGTCGTTCCTGCGTCGTGGACGATCGCTTTTCGCAATCGCCGTCGATTGCGTGCACACTAGGAACCCTAACCGAGGTCACCGTGGTATACTGTAAATGCTCCAGTGACGAAATCCTGTTATTTCCCCTTCCTCTTCACTCTTTGTGGGATGGGAGCTCAATGGCCTACTACTCGATAAGGCCGTCACGCTAGCGAGACGAATAACAGAAAGAGAAACAATGGGAATATCGGGAACGGACATCCCATCGTTGTCCATCTCCGATATCGTGCAAGAGGAAATGCGTCACGATTGGGGGGGGGGGACGACTTCCTATTATCTATTACCTATTGTTGCACGACAAACGAATGACTGCCTTGCTGTCCGTAGGTGGATATTGGGCGTTGGAGGGCAGATCTCCTTTCCAGGAGAAGTTGAGCCTCCGAGAAGTCCTCCTGTCTTCCCATCCCGACCCCCACCCCAACCCCGACCCCCACCCCAACCTCAATCTTCGTCCCAACCTCAACTCGCGGTCATCTCCAACTCATCATGTACGACCCCGAATGGGTTGCCAGGATTCTGCGCTTTACCTGTCTCCTGCTCTGTCTACTATCTCCAATCGTCCGAATGTTCCTTGGGGAATGGAATCCAAGGAATTTGCTGTCCTCAGCAATCATCCAATCCCACGGGTATGAACCATCTCCCCGATAATCCACATTCCATCGATCGCCTGGATAGCGATAACACTTTCATAATGCAGGTGGAAACGGAGTGGTGTTCCGGGAACAGCAACGAGTCGTTCCCATCCGGGACTTCACCGGTAACCAATTGGAGGTAGCAGGGAACCACGGTCTCGGGACGGTGGCAGATATCGACCAGATTTCCACGAGATTACTGGGTCAGGGAAAAATCGTAGAGCCTCTGACTCCAGCCGGCTACCATCAGAATTTCTTCCAGACAGACAGAAAAGCCATTCAATTAGCCAAGGATGCTATGGTCGGCGTGGAAACGGCCCGGAATCTCTCCCGACAGTACGTCAGTAGAACGGGGAGTCGAAAACTATTAAATAGTCATTTTCTCTCACAAATGTGGGGAAACGATGGGTTACATGGACACTTTAAACATTGGGCGAAACCTGAGCACCCCAACTACAAAAATTATTCTTTGAAGGTATCCTCTATCAGGAAGAAAAATTCACTGCCGATACGATTTGCTAAAAATTATAATTAAAGTAGTGGCGTGAGTTAAATTTTTTATTTGATTTTTGCATGCCCATATAACATACTCAATCGGGTTATATGAACATCCCCTTGTCCATATAACCCGACCTTGCTCTTGCTTACGAAAAATTGAACAGCATGTAACCCATTTAGCGCGTTTGAATGGGTTAAACGGACACGAGAAAAAGAAAACATTTCAAACTCTCACCAGTTTTGAGTCAGCCATACTGGCATGGAACTTTTTTTTTTATAATGGACCAAGCATTCGGCAAATATTTTTAGAGGTGGTCCGTTTAGGTTTCAACCTGCACCTGAGGTGTTCTATACGACCCATCATTTCCCTATTTGAAGATGCACGAAAATTTGATCCTTCATGACCTTGGCACGCATTCTGTATCGTCTGGAAAACACCATTAGATTTCAGGAAAAAATACAGAATTTTAAGCAGGATGCGTGAGAATCTTGAATTTGTGCTCGTAATGCTCATTTCTACGATATAGCTGCGTTCTGAAAAGTAGACGTGAAGCTCTTCGCTAGTATTACTAGTATAATGTTTGAGGGGAAGGATTCTGAATATAAATTGGTAACTGAAGTTCCCCGAAAAAGTTACAAATGCCATAATTTGGATCATTCGCATTTCTTTCAAATAAGTTTCATCTATTTAAAAAGTGTCTTTTCATTTCATGGAGATTTTTATTATTAAGTAGGATGCATGAAATCTATCATCAAGTCATATGGACAGTGGGTGTTCTTAAAAGCGTGTCCCGTAAGTCATTTGAGGATTTCACATTAATGTAATTTGGGAATAACGTAAGATATTTTAGGTATGTAAAATGTTGTTAATCTGCCCTCAAGTAAGTTTTACAGGAAATCATTTTTGTTTCTCAGATTAGTTTCAGATAGACATTTAAAAATGCTGACGTCAGAACGACAAGTCGACACGGTTTTGCGGATGGGCAAGTTTGAATCTGCAACACGAACCAGACGAGAATTCCAGCGCGTGCACCCAGGCATAGGCGCCGACTTCTAAAAAGTATTGGGGGCAAGTTCCTAATGCCTAGGAAATAATATTGACGGAATTATTCCAGTATCCATTGGGGTAGGGGCCGTTCCATGCCAACCGACCGAGGGATGACGCTCGACCATCTAAAAAAAAAAAAGGAAAATTTTCAGTGTTAACCGGTCATACATGAAACTCCAAAATCCAAAATACTTTATTTTTATTTCCTTTGGTACATGAGATATGAATGTCGAAAATATGGTTTTCAAGCACGTGTGACCCCTTGGGCGAATTTCATACCTCTCAAACTATGCCAGCTAGAAATACATGGAATAGCTCATATGAAAGGTCTGAAATAGTAGAATCCAATTATTGCCACGAAAATAAGGGTTTTTTGAAACTTGAATTGCATGTCTTTTTCCAAAATGTACTAATTTCTTATATTTTCACCACCCCATTATCTGTTGTGGGAGTCAACGAAATAAAACTCAAATTGCATTGCTAAGAGTCAACCTCCGGCTCAGTTTTATGATGTATGTATTCTTTGTATTTTCCCATCCCGACATGCCGAAAATGAAAGTCGAATATCCCATTTTCCCCATGGTAGCTCAGTATTATGATGGTAGCAGAGTGACGAGCGGGGGGGAGGGGAGGGGGGGTTGTTGGGCATGGCCCTTCCACGCCGTACTCTTACGGAGTGACACTGAGATTTCCCCCAGTTGGAAAGAAACAGAAACAGAAAGGAAAATCATATTTTTCATTGCTTTCATGAGGCAGCATTTTGTTTCCAATTTTCCATGTGCCATACATTTGTTGAAAATTTTCCGTTCTTGGGGGAGCGTTGCCTCTTCAATAGTTGGGCGGGCACGTGCCCTTTGCTTCCCTTGGTTCGGCTCCTATGCGTTAATTTAAACACAATCCGTGACAATCTGATCTGAAAGAGTTCCGCGACGCTAGCAGTCTCCACGAAAAGAAAAGTAGTGGACGTCCGTTCCCATCTTCTGCAAGGAATGGACATCCGCCTCTCATCGTGGAAACTGTCTGCTTCGCGGAACTCTTCAGATCGTCATGGGTCGTGTTTTCATCAATGGTCTCGCCTGGGTGCACACGCTGGAATTCGCGTTTGGTTCGCGTTGCAGATTCAAACCTGCCCATCTGCAGAACCATGTCGACTCGTTCTTCTGACGTAAGAAGAACGAGTACCTCTATGTGAGTTTCTTTGGTGGTCAACCGTGGCTGTTTTAACATGAATCCTTCTCCGCCTAGAAATGGCTTGAGGTGAAAAAAATCGCCTGACTGACCACGAGGCAGAAATGATCAAAGAATACGAAGGACCCCCATACAACTCAGACCGTAACCAAACCGATTTTTGTATGCGAAGTCTGCTGGAAGCAAATGCCCATAAACGAAATCCAGCGACCTGAACCAGTTATGGTTCGCGCCGAAAGAAAAGTGAAACCATGTCCGTCCGGTGCGATCGAATGACAGATGCCAAGATTCCAGGTTGCCGTCAAGAATAACGAAGACACATCTAAAATATTTTGTGAATATTCCACTGTGCGCCCTCGTGTCTTGTTAGGATTCGATTGATTCCATGAGTGGCTGGTCTTGACTGTGAGTGATCCTTGATCCTTAAAATCATTACTCGAAATGGAGCGGGATGCGGCTAGATGGTATCTCGGAAAAGAAAGAAAAGATTTTTGACTCGAGCCAGCTTTCTAAAATTTAAGCCGTAAAACTGGTATGGAAGGCCAACGAAATGAGGAAATCTCACACCTGACCACGAACGGTGACACCTGCTACTGCCTTCTCCCTCCCTCCCCGTTATAGCTTCCTTTCGACCGTTTCTCTGCGAATCGATTAAACACGATACTTATGGTGCCCAGTTTTCCTCGTCCCAGTTGGTCACTGCGAGACACCGAGTGGGAGTCCGCAGGGCCCGAAAGAGATCTTGGCTTCGATTAGGTACTGCTCTTGGGCATTTTTAACCTCTATTTGAGCGCATCCCCCTCCTACGAATCATTATAGAATATGTGCTACCTCTTCAGGCTTCATTCCTGAGGCAGAGATTTTTGCGAGGGTGCCAGGAAGAACTTATCCGAAGGGAAATGGCGAGACGAGGGATTCAACCGGGATGATATCGCATCGGAATCGAATGGAGTGGCGAGCGAATTTCCGTGTGCCCAAGGAGACTTGCCTTTGAGAAAGGACATACCGTACTGTATCCGTTCTTCATGATAGCCAGATTAGAGCTGCGGTCGCTTACAATCCGATCGGACTTTACGACCTGTACAGTATGCTGGAGTTATTATCAGCCATTGATTATCACCCATAGGTACTACGGGGAAATGGCAAATATTACTATCAGTCTGTCATTTATTTTATCTTTTTTTTTTTCATTCTGTCTGTCCGCACTACCCATAGAAACCGGATAACACGACTCACTGCGTACGTCTAGCTTCTTAACATATCTTAACGATAACATTAGTATTTTGACATGGTTTTGCTCTTCAAAACACTTCCAATTACTGTTAGCTACATAGTGCGCATACCTTCACCTCAACAGCAACTGAACGAGAGAAAAGAGAATAATTGGGGCAAATCCAGTTGAGACGAATTGAGATATTTCGATCCGCATGAATCGAGCAGATCATATATTCAAAAATCTTGAGAAACAATAGCTCGGGCAACGAAGGTGCATGTATTCCACTACCCAAATCCTTAATCGAAATCCTCAAATCCTCATTTGCAGGAGAACTTACAGGAGGGAATTCGATAGAGCATCCTGCATTGTCATTCGTGTACTCCACTGTGTAGATACAATCTGAGCCCAGAGCAAGCGGCGTTTGGGCTGCAGAAATTCACAATGTTGAGGACGTCGGTGTCCGGCAGATGTCCCGTACCACCGCAGTGTAACCCCGGTTACAGATATCGATCAGCCGATGGTTCCTGCAATAATCTTCAGGTCTCCCAATGGGGACAATCACGGACTCCTATGCAACGCCTTCTAAGTCCGGCAGATGTCCCGTACCACCGCAGTGTAACCCCGGTTACAGATATCGTTCAGCCGATGGTTCCTGCAATAATCTTCAGGTCTCCCAATGGGGACAATCACGGACTGCCATGCAACGCCTTCTACCACCTGCTTACCAGGATGGTAAGGTTCGCCTCTTTCCCAAAGTTGGTAGGTTGATAGACTTCTCCCTTGAACATACGTTTGTGGGGATAGGGATCTGGTCGCCGAGAGTGGCAGTATCGGGGAGAGAGTTGCCGAGTGCTCGAACCGTGAGCAATCTCCTTATACTGGATGGAAACCAGCCGGATCTCCGATGGACACTCATGACCATGCAATGGGGACAATTCCTCGACCACGACATCACCTTCGCTCCCATCTTCAAACTCGGTCCGTTCGTTCGTTCGTTCGTTCATTCGTTGAATCGAGTTCATGAATCGAGCGAAAACGGTGTCCTGCAGACGATGAAGGGTCGGTGGGTATAAGATGCTGCGAAGACGGAGATGTGGCAGTTCCTCCTCCTCATCCTGCTTGCTTCCCCATCCACATCTCCCCGCAGGATCCCTTCTACGGACGATTCCAGGTCACCGTCTTTTTTTATGCCGCTCTGTATGTTATCGTGAGGATGATCGGCGAAGAATTACCTCGACCGTGAATGATGTCCACAGGAACGGTGCATGAATTTCGTACGAAGCCTTCCCGCTCCCCGATTCGGCTGCACCATCGGACCCGCGGAACAGGTGATTCACGGTCGCGTCTCGCACGGATGATATCCTCGATCGCATGTCGTGACGATGTGATGTCGGCAGATGAACCAAGTGACTCCCTGGTTGGACGGGAACACGGTCTACGGATCGGACGAGGAGGCGGCAAGGAGACTGCGAGCATTCCAAGGCGGGCGGATGAAATCCTTCCAATTAGACGGTCGGAGTCTTCTCCCTCTCCAAACGGAAAGAGGAGACGATTGCACGGAACCCCAACAGGGAACGCATTGCTTTGCCGCCGGTGAGTTCTTAGGTGTGGGGTTCAAGTCTTGGACACATTCATTAACGGTGTGTGTATCAACAGGGGACACGAGAGTGAACGAGATCGCAAGTCTGTCCGTCATCCACACGATCTTCTTCCGACAGCACAATCGGATCGCCGGAGAACTCCAGCGACTGAATCCCACTTGGAATGACGAGAGATTATATCAAGAAGCCCGAAGGATCGTGGGGGCTCAAATTCAACACATCACCTATAACGAATGGCTACCAGTTGTCCTCGGTACATTCCGCACCCGATCTGTAGTTATTACCTTAATCCGGTAATGCATAATCACTGGAAAGCCTAACCTTTAAGTACAAAGATAGAAAGAATCATATGTTATCGCACCCGTAACAGCAATAAAACAAGGCCTCGGATTGCGGGAATCACCTATAGAGACACAGTTTCGAATAAATTCATTCAATACGTTATATGTATACTGTCGGGAAGGTTTGTATACGGAAGAGATGCATAAGCAGGCTCTGAAATCTCTGAACAACTATTATTGCTGGGACTGAGAATCATTCTTCTCAGAGCACTCATCTGTGCACTTTTAAAAATGAATCAAGAAATGCATGCTGCCTTGCGGTAACTAGATTCGTTGAATGATAGCAACCTGGACCCGTAGTCGTGATAATCTGTAAGACACAAGACAGTCCTAGATACAGAACGATAAAAAGTAAAAATGTTTGCCCACCGACGTCTCTTTCATTAAAAACTAGACTTCTACGAGCAGAGGGAGTATGTCTATTTGCATTCGTGCGCGAACAGGAAATTCAGTTGTGAAGACAGAAATTCATATCAGAAAGGGTCTTTCTGCACGACGATTTCTGCTTTGCTGCATCATTTCCTTGTCCTTATATTTAGGGTCTCGTTACATGGGGAACTTCGGAATCAGAGTCGGGGAGGCGGGATACCGATACGATTACGATCCCAGCATCAACCCCAGCGTGACGAATGCTTTTGCCGCAGCCGCTTTCCGATTTGGACATACCCTCATCCAGGGACTTGTCCAGTAAGAACATATCCATCCCCCTACATCACTTTCGTTCTCTTCCTTTCATGAATCTGGAGAGAAGATTGCAGGCAAAAAAATTTCATTCAGACTCTTTGGAGGAGGAGTGCAGACGGAGAGGAAGGAACTACGGGACCTCTTCAGTAATCCAGGTCTCTTGTACGGCAAGAACTCACTGGATCGATTCATCAATGCTTTGGTCACACAATCCATGCAGGGCTTCGATAACTTCTTCACTAAGGAGGTTCGTTCTCTCTGTTTTCGGTCCTCCTTCAGCCTTCTCGTACATCTATGCATCTGTTGCATTTCGGCAGGTGACAGAGCATCTATTCGAAGATCGTCGTCACGGATTCGGATTCGACCTGGTGTCGTTGAACTTGCAAAGGAGTCGTGATCACGGGGTCCGAGGATACAACGAATATCGAGAGCTCTGTGGTCTCGGCCGGGCCCGCACCTTCAACGACTTCGCTACCCACATCAATCCCCAAGTGATCGGAGCCATGCAACTCTCTCCTCCTCCCATTCAGCGATGGCATTTGGAATGATCATCTCTCCCACCTCTATTCGATCCTAGCGCAACTATCGGAGATCCGGAAGACGAGCCTGGCCCAGATACTGTGTGACAACAGCGACGGCCTGCAAGAAATCCAGCCTTTGGTCTTTCAAACTACGTAGGCCATTATTTTTCTGCTCCAGCCCTGGAGCACGATAGGATCGTCTGCGATTGCCATACTTTGTTTTTCTTGTAGGATACGGAAAGTGGGATGTGGAAGTGCAGCGATTCCCCGGCCACAATTTGGTCCATGGAAGGAAGGCTCTGATGTCACCTTCGACTGAAGAATTCTTTTCAATTTCTTCTGCTTTTTTCTCTTTACTCCCTTGTCACTCGTCCTCAACTTGGTCCCACATTCTTAGGCTTGTCATACACACGACTGTAAAATATTATTCACTGGGTAAGTAAGAAGTCAGTAAGAAGTTGTCAGTGTTCGCGTAGGGTACACTTTGTCAGTCATGGAAGACGCGGTAAATTCTCAAAGAGCTATCATTTTCTTTTTATGGAAGGAAGGTGTTAGGACGTCTGAAATTATTCAACGTTTGAAAGCTGTTTTTGGTGAATCTTCTGAATCTAAAAACACAGCCATACCACTGAGCCTATTAAGACCCAACTTTTAGGCCAAATATGATCCATTAGGTCAGGAAATAACAATATTGCCACCCAAGAAACATTTTTTAAATGATATGATATGAAATCAATTTAAACTTTTTGTCCAAAAATGCAAAATTGATTTTCACTTTCAACATCCATTACATAAAGGAAATGTTTACTCATGATATGAGTCAGATATGGCAGTCCCCATACTCTCTATATTCATGAAGATTTTCCCAAAAAAGGGGTTCTCCTTTAAATATCATCTACACCACTTTGAAATGTTTGCTGGAATTCATTACCAGTGGTTCGTTTGCTTTCCTTTGTGTTACTAATCAGCATCTGGATTTTCCATCCAAATTAATGTAAATTGAATGATATATAAAAATTCCAAACCTTCAAACTAGGGGAACTGGGACTGAAGAGGATATATTTAATACAAATCTGACCGACAGAAAAGTAACAGAAAATGCACTTTCCCTTTACATTCTGATGCAGCACTCAGATAACAAATGAAATCAATGCTAGATATTGGTCCAAATATCAGTACCTTTGAAATCCATGATTAGGGTATGATAAATGTTGTATTAGAATCAGGCATAAAAATTCGTCAATTTCAAGTAAAAATATTAACTTCATAACAAGAAAAACAAATGAACTTTCCTCATAGTAAACATAGGGCTGTACCGATTATCGCGGTATCATTCGATGTTTGTCTTATTGGCGATATGTCTGCATATCGCGATATTTTAATTTTGAAAATAATTTTTTTTTACTCCTCTATTGTCGCAGGAGAGGGGAAACGGAGCACACGAACCGCGCCATTAATCATAACGGCATAGGACGATGTAAGGATAGACTGTCGGCCTTGACAAAAACCGATAAGATGAGGGAGGGAGTTAGAGGATAATTTGAGGACTGCAATCCTCCCCGATAGTTTCTTTTTCTGGAAAATTTCCTTGAGGCGAAATGATGGAAATCAGCACTCGGATTCGGTCAGCCCCTGAGTATTATGAAACCACAGCCAATTTTTGTTGATGGAAAATAACTGGAAACTCATACCTCACGCTCGTGGAAAGTCTGTAATGAGGAACGCGTCTAGAATTTATTCTTGCAACGAATGCAATACCCATCCGGAATATGAAAAAGTAGCTGCACTGAAAGGAAGGGAAATTCCAGTTTCTGGGAATACAACCAATCTCTCGCATCTTGCGACCTCAATTGATTGTGGCGATAATCGAGTCTCGCCTCTAAAAGGACCACTCCATCATTCTTTGCAACTTCTCCTGTCCGGGATGAAGTGGAAGCCCAGTTCCGAGGAAAATCGGTTCCCAGGCTTTAAACGCATAACGCATATTTCCTTTAAAAAAAAGGAACTCGAGTCCCCTGAGCCCCTATGAATCGCCGCCTATGGCAATATGACATTTCGATGTGGTCCTAATGTGTTTGCCCAGTAACTGATCTAGTTGATTTGGCCCTTATTTGGCTCACATTAGGATGCCAGATGCACTAATATTGTTTGGCATGCCAGACTTTTCCCGTATTCCCAAGCGTGCATACCATTGCCAGACATTCACCAAAGATGCCTGGCATTAGGTATAGGTTTGGCTACCTGGGTATAGATGTCTAAAGTCTTGTATAAGGTTACCATACATTCGGTTTTTCCAGGACATGTCCTCTATTTTAGCCTTCGCATTTCCGTCCGGGTGGAATTTTGAAAAGTATTGAATCTGTCCGGGATTCATCCTCCGGTCACTAATATTCAGAATTTTTTTCGGCCTGGCAATGTCGGTGTGACGACACGTCCGTAACGTTTCCTACTTCCTATTCCCTCCATTTGGAGTCTCTCCTCGAGACATCATGGTCACCATCTCATCTTCGCATTCCGTGGTGAGAGTCAGCAGGTTATCACATCTCAAATTTCCGTATGATGCTACGCAGAAACTAGAGCGCCACCTAGAGTCGCATGGTTCATGCTATTAGCCAATGCCGAGTCCCTTGCTCCCCATGCCCCTTAAAAAACGGAGGTATCGAAACAGAAAATCGCCGATAACGATAACGCTTAGGTACTTCATCGGCGCTCCTCAAAACCGGCCTTCGACGCGCACGTGCGTCATTGGCAGCGGACGTGTTGTTGCACTGTGAAGCTCTGAAATTTTTTTGTTTTTTGTTTAATTTATGCACATTGTGGCCAAGAAATACCTGACAAATAAAGCTCTGTGACTTGCATATTTTTTAAAATAGTAATTAAAATAATATATACTTCATAGTATACCACATCCTGATGAGTTTTAAGTAGACAGTATTCACACCTGGTTTATAAATTGTTGAACTGTTAAAAAAATAATTCTGCGTATTTGTCCGGCTCCTGGTATGTACTGGTACGCACGTGACACTGTGTTGCCCATCACTTTGTGAATCATCCCAAGTAACGCATAGGTGGTGGGCCACCAACTACGTATGGGGAAGAGAGTTGGTGGTCCATCACCTTGACTAGGTTGTGGGCCACCAGCCGCATGTCCCACTTGCCAGTACTGGCCCGACACCTTCCGACCCGCTTAAGGGCCAGTACATTACCAGTTAGCTCGTTTGTGGTGTACCACCAGCTGGGAAGGGTCCTAATGTCTCTATACATATCCGCACTATCTATAAGCCATGGCTCTGGAGGCTACTCAGAAGAATACTCAAAAGTACAAAGATATCCCACTGCTCTCCTCTTCCGCATTCAAAATGGACCACTGAAGGAAGGGAGCGCAGAAGTCATCGAGTACTAATTCATATCATATACACACTTTGACATTGAAAACCCAGTTTCTTTACCTTACTCTAGTCCCGTACACTTCTGAATTCTCATACATAACTACAGCATTTAATAATTCCCAGAATCTTATATTGCAATCAAAACATCATAATTCCACGATTTCCTAGTACCTGTTAATAAGTTGCACATTAAAAAAAGGAAAAACGAGGAAGAAACACTTTTGCTAAATCAGGAAAGCAGGTACTTCATTGCATTCGTAGTGTTCAGTGAACTACCATCTAGTGGGGATTCTTGGTACTGCATCTAGGGGAGTGCCAGCTACATTCTCCACCCTGAACCGGTGGAGATTGTAGCTACCTACAATAGGTAGCGAGCCAGCAACTGCGTGTCCAACTTGCCGCCACGTTTCCGCCCCCGGCAGAAATCCACGAATATAGTGCCTGGGTCACTTGTGGCCCACTACTTTTGCACTACTTGGGATGTCTAGGGTAATTTTTTACTATTTCAAGTTCGATCTTTTGTTTTGGCTTAGTTCTTACAGGATTCTACTCTGTTTTTCCCATCGGAAAAAAGTCAAGGCTTGTTGCCGGTCATAAAAAAAACTCAAAGCATTGAATTGAGAAAATTCAGAAACAACTTTTTTTTATTATCAACTCCTTCAATGCGCGGGCAGGATGGGCAGTTGCCCCATCTTAAGTTTAATTAAATCCCACCTCCTAATGCTTTGGGAAACGGGCAGAACAGCCACAGTTAAGTTTGAGCGATGCACCAAGTGATGAATGAGCTTCTCATTTCAAAACTCAAAAAGATTTCACCTTTCTGCTAGCGCACCAAAAATGGGTGTAGTACTTCACAGCTCAAGAAATGTCGACTTTCTCTCAGAGTTGTAAAAGATTTGTAGGTTTTTTCTTTGGTATTCCTTCTCACAATGCAAACGTGGAGAGTTTTTTCGCTAATGCAAAGTCAGTGGACCAGGGCCGTATCTAGGATTTCATTTCGGGGGGGGTTTGAGATCTGGCGTATGGGCTGTGGCAATTTTTTTTTTATACTTGTCATTGTAAGTCTTTGTGACATATCTGGATTTTCCTGTAAGCTGCAGTGTTTAATAAGTCTAAGCTATTAAAGATAGAAAAGACCATGTACTGCACCGTTTACACTAACGAATAGCAGTATGGCAAAAATTTAAGGAAGATATTTCAGGGGGGGTTTGACCCCATGAACCCCCCCCCCCCCCCTAAATACGGCCTTGCAGTGGACACAGGAATGGAGCAACTTAGCTGTTGATCTGTGAAAGGGATCTTTCTGGTGCACAGGGCCGTTTCTAGGGGCAGGCGAAGCGGGCGATCGCCCGAGGCGCCAGCGGGTTAAAAGGGGAGGGGGGGGGGGGCGCCGCCATTGGAACTTCTTGCCCTGGGCGCCAACAAGCCTAGAAACGGCCCTGCTGGTGCAGTATAACTTTGAACACGTGTCTTATAAGATTTTCACTGTTACTTGCTGAATCAACATCGGAGAATGTGTTCAACAGAAAAGTAAGCATGGGCTCCGAAAATTATTATGAGGCCTGTGTGACATGCATTTGTTTTTATTTTTAATAACTTAGAAAAAAAAACATGCCGAGGAATTTCTCATGTCTTGCCCATTTTAGCCATGGAACAAGGAACCTTGATTTTCCAATAAAATAAAATATCCCCTAGATAAATGAAGATGTCCTCCTTTTGACACTCCGAAATATGGTAACCCTAGTCATGTAGAATCAAGACGATCCAATCGAACGAAGCAAAACAGAAGAAACGAAATAAAACAGAGGAAAATAAACATAACAGGAAGGGTAACTCAACGTGGAGGGAGGAAACGCACTGAAACAGAAACAAAATGAAAGGATGCAACTATACAGAAGATTAGGGTGAATTCGCAGACTTAACAGAGGAGGTGTATAACGGATATGCAGGAGAAACAAATCCCACGGGCGGGGGAAAGGGAAAAAAATAAGCAATGCACTGAGGAAAAGCAATAGAAGAATTAGCTTAAGGACTTCTGGAGAAAATACCGTTTCGGGAGTTATTTTTTTGCATTATTAGGAGTTGATTCAGCAACTGCATCGGATTCCCATCTAACTAGACATAACGAGTCTTATCAACTTCCTCTGGTTTCTTCCTATCAGCTTCCAATAATAAGTATGAAAATATTATTTTACCAGGTTTTCTGCATGCTCAAAACCAAACTCCGTAGTCCATCTTCCTATAACCATGAGGGTAGAAATCTCACACCACCCCAAACCTTAAACTTCAAAGAGCAACACTGGTAGTAAATGGTGGCGATGTAGATGGCAACCGACCACGTGAATGCGCCTCTCAATTTGAAAACTCCCTTTACCTGTTGATTCGCAAACGATAAGCTCGACTTCTGAGGTCCCAAACAGTCGTATGACTGCAGGCAATGGAAGTAAATTCCTTCTGTATGAATGAAACTGGAAAAGTTGTCTCGTTAAGGGACCTCTTCATCACAAAAAGAGTGAGCATTTGTTGCCATCCGCTTAAGGTTAGGCCAAGGCGTGCTTGACTACTTTCGTTTCATTTAGGCCTAGTATAAAGTCGGCCCGTGTCCTTGATAAGTCTAAGCCAGTTCGAACATCATCCAACTCGTAAAATTAGGCTATAATCTGTACAACTTAATGGAAATGCCAACGACTTTGTTGGAGCCTATGCTACCTTGCTTTTAGGGCTTACCAAGAAGCCAGTGGCTTTTCCTGGTCTGCCTGGGTTGGTTTACTAATATCACCTGAGAGTCAATAGGTCGGTGCTTTTTGTTTTGTTTCTATTTAGTTATGAAGTAGCATTATATTTGCTAAAAAAGGAAGTGATCCTTTAGATTTATTTAAACTTCTTAGGATTAGGAGTTTTGTTCAGTGTCAGGGGTAGCTGATTATATAATCTAACAGAATTTGCTTTGATTGACCTGTAGCTATAGTTAGTTCTGCATTTTAAATGCACTAAATTTTGTTGTATGGAGTGTTGCATGATGATATATATCTTTAACTAATTGAGTTGTACTTGTATAGCTTATGGTTAGGGTTGTCACCTATTCATAATTAGTATGGACAGTACATATTTCAGATGCAATGTCCATACTGTGAACTGGCCCTAATATGGACAATGTTTTGTTCATATTTTTAACCTAAGATTTTTTTAAACACAATAAAGCTTAATAGCAGATAACATAAATTTTTTCTCCTTCTCCACTCCCATGTTCAATGCGAAATGCACAGCCTGATGTAACGGCGAGCGGGATGAGCGCTCAATAGACCTTGTCGCCCATGTGTAGAAGCAATACAATCGCCTTTTCTCTTCCAATCAGGCCTATCACCTCCCTCACACTATCACCTTCATCTTATCCAATATTGGGCTGGTGGTTTGTGATGCCTGTCCATATAAACTTAAGCATGTTCAATGCAGTGTCAGAAATGGGATTTTCATAGTTAAGAATCACCAAAGAATGGCAGTCTGTGATCCAGATATGGCCAATATCTACTCAACCTTTGAGATGATATTTCTGTTGTTTCTCATTCCTGGATGGGAATCACAGCCATACATGATCCCCTTACACAGAGCACTGTTCTGGTTGAAAAACTTCCTCAAGGAAGTCCTCCAGAGAGCTAAGATTCAGTGTGTCTATATGTACCTGCTCACTGCTATGTTGGGCGGTGCATTCCATGTGGGAGTGTATGATAACAGTACTCACTACTAAAGTGATGGTTGAAAGTTGTAGTATGCACACATACGACACCCACTACTGACTAATATCACCTCTAGCAATGTCCATGATTGGTTTGCACAAGAGGAAGGGAATACCGGTTTCTTAATATTGATCTTGGGGCAAGGTCTCTTATTTTGTTAAGTACTCCATTATTTTTACTTATCTTTTTACATATATGATTCACATGCAGTTTCTAGTTTTAGTGATTATCAAGTATTACACCAAGATATTTGACCTGATCTATTTCCTCTAACACATTAGAGTTAATTCCTAGCTGAATTGTTCATAGTTTGTTTTGTGGGGGCCTTGAACTATTACTAAATTAGATTCATTGACATTTAATAAGAGTTTATTTGTTTGAAACCAATCGCATAGACTATTCAGGTCAGATAGTATTTGTTCTCTCAATATCTTCAATAATAATAGGTATGCTACCCTGCTTCAGCCTTCCCCACCAGGGTGTATTTAATGCCATACATTTAGAGAAGGGGAATGTTGCATGTTTGGGTGTCTTCCTTTGCAGACACACTTGTGCTTGCTCTCAGAAATAAATGGCCAACTTGGTTGGTTTGGAACCCAGGTTTCCTACCATAGGAGCCAGGCTCACTGCAAGCAAACTTCATACCTACCCAACAAGTTCCTGTATTGTTCATTTTTTCCATATGATTTTACAAAATTTCTAGTTTTTTATTTATTTATTACAGATCTTGATGGATAGATTTGGCTTAGGCCAGGTTTGAACTTAAAATTGTACTAGCATTAGTATTAAGGAGCATTCTAATGAGTAGCTTTTGGAAGTCCACTTACAAGCAGGAAAAAGCGATATATTATGGAAATACCCTCATGCAGAATTCACACTAGATTTTCTAAATCTTGAGTCCTGGTGCCTAGCTTCAGCTCAGTGGGACCATGTTCAGGTGGTTGTCAATGAGTCCCACAGACTTGGGATGTTTTGCAAACATGAGTCCCTCCAAGAAAATGAGTCAGGGACTTGCTATAGCAAGTTAATGTGAACCCTGCTCTTATGGATGTACTGTCATATAAAGGATCCTGAGCGATTTCAAAGAATGTTGGGTTTCTTTAGGGTTGAATGCAAGAGGTCCTTATTTGACCAATAACAGTTTGTTGGAAGATGTTTTGAAGGGTCTCACAGTCATTCCTGGTATTGATTTTCTTATTAATGATGTAACATCAGAAAATCTTATATTTTAGAGTTAGTGTTTGCTATGTCATAAATGAATACCAGTAGCTAAGGGGCTTTTGATTCTGTTTTGGCAGATAATGCAGTCATGATCACTCATCCTGCTTCTTTCAGAAGTTCTCTCAAGAAGTACGAGGGATGGTCCAAAATTATTTGGACTTTTACAGAAGGAATAAAGATAGGCCAAAAAAAATTTTTCTCGCCAGAGGTCATCCAAAGTCAATGCTTTCTCAGCACTTTTTGCACCATGAAAATGCTCTGGTACACAAGGCAGCAAAGACAGTTTGTTGGTGCCTCTCACATCAATCTCATCCTGGATGTGCCACCCTATTCTCCAGATCTGGCCCCCTGTGATTTTTGGTTATTTCCAAGGATCAAGAAGAATTTGCACAAGAAAGGACCATTTGAAAATCATGAAGAAGTCATCAGAGAAGTGAAAAGGGAGCTGCAAGAACTCAAAAACAAAGATTTTGAGAAATGTTTTCAAAAATGGTTGCAGCGGATGATAAAATGCATTGATGTTGGCTGCAATTATGCAGAGAAGTGTTGAATAAATGCCCTTCCAGAGAAAAAAAAATTCTTTTGCTTATCTTTATTCCTTCTGCAAAAGTTCAAATAATTTTGGACCATCCCTCATATAGATATTGATGTGAGGATGTCATGTAAAACTACTGTAACATGTAGTGTCACAGGTTAAAAAAATGGGTAACATGGGCTTGATAGTGATAGGGAATAAAGGTCCATCAATCTGAGTTTGTGTGTGTATTGGTTATGTTGTTCAGCTTATCTCCATTTAGGATTATGTGAGCATTTTCTTGCTCTATATAATTTGATTTAGATTTCTACATAGAATGGGATGAGAGTCACACCTCTTGGATTTATAGCAAGGTCTGAAAAATATGGGGGGAGGATTTTATATTATTATATGGGGGGAGGATAATATTTTGCTGAGTATTTTTACTCTGGCAACCTCTCATGGTGATGAGAGCTCCAAGCAAAATATCTAGCTAAGAATGTTTCTTATTTCTATTTTTATTCCTTCTCCATTTCTCAATCTTTGTCATAGATGGTATATCCACTGAGCCCTAGTTTTGGAATTTAAACCATTTTCTCAGGTCATCGTTATTGTCTCACTGGCTATTGTAGTACTAGGATTCAAGACTTGAAAGTGAGTTGCAAAGCTGCCTTGCTCACTGTTGATTGATGGCTGTTGACATTCTTTTGAGGGAAGAAGTAATATAAGTCTCAGAGCTTGCATGAACAGAGTTGGATGTTCTCAAATCATTAACATGAAGATGGCTCAACTAATACTTGGGCTATATACCAATCTGGAACTTATCTTTCTGACTTTGTATGGTACTGGTCATGTTACAGGAGAGAGGAAGGAGCAGAAGACAGCGAATCCCTAAGTCACCATCCAAGAGTTCTTTTGCAGACAGCAGGCTTTTTCCTCGAGATGTTTCTCATTATTACAAGGCACATCCAGTATCTTTCAATGAAGAAGATTCCTCAGGTAGGCCTATCTGTTATATGTCCATGAAATAGCTATAAAGCTGATTTCCTGTTGCTTTCCCTCTTTTTAGCCCTTCTGCCCCATAGTCCTACTGCCAAATTCAGCCTGCTTTCAAATGTGGCTTCTGTAAGATTTATATTGAAATGAAGGTATTTGTTATTAGAAAAAGCTTGGTTTGAAATTTATCTTAATCAGTTTTTTTTCTTTGTCTGTTCTGTCAACTCATTTTCTATTCATCTCTGGAGAGTTCTATCTTAATAGTTGAAATGCCACCTCTCCCTTCTTATATTCATCAAGTTATCATGAAAAAACATCTGCAGTTGGAGAACCCATGGACACTGTGTATACTATGTAGACTTAGTAGTCTCGGGTAGGGGCTTCATAGCCTGTGAACTTATGATTATGTGTTTTTGGGTTTGAGAGCCTGCATTTTGCACATCTTCCCTATGTACTTTGTCACTAAGAACTCCTTTGCATGCTCATGCCTTCACTCCTTATTTTGTAGTCATATCCCTATCGATGTGTCTGTTGCAGAAGTTTGATACTTGCTCATCAAACCCTTTCAGATCTTCAAAAGTATTGAATGGTTTCTTACTGAATGTGACTTACATGATATCTTGATAAATGTATTAAATTTGCCTCATGGAGCTATTCCATTATATTTGCAATTGGAACCTTTTGCAATTGACATAGCATGCCCCAAAAATTCAACTTTAAAAGGTGCATTGACAGCATTTTGATATGTCCCTTGGAGGACCTGCATGGTGCCATACTCCTGAAACCCAATTTTTGACTAACAATAAATCTCAAATTTCTCCCTCCTGCCCAGAATGTGAATGTCACATAGTTCTCATTTCCAAGCTACCAGACATGACAAAGAATCTCAAATTGAAAGCATTCTTTGTGGACTTAGCATAGCTCAACCTAAATTCTTTTTGCAGTATAGAATGGGAGCATGATGAAAATGCCTCAGTGAAATGTTACATGATTGCTACTTTAGCATGGTTTCCACCAGCAAATCCTTGAAGCATGCTAGCTGTCATAGCAATCAGGACAGCTGTTAACCCTTTGAGGAGCAGGTATTTTTTTCACCATGTGTGTACTTTTTCAAGAAATTGGTTCAATTGTAGAATTTAAAAAAGAGCACTTCCCATGGACCGATTTTCATATATGACCTACTGTTGAAATCGTCCTGGCCCACTGAATTCAATGACACCCTTTGCTAAACCCTAACTCCTCTATGGGGCCCCTGGTAAGGGGCCAATAGGAGAGCTAGGGCCTGCAAGTGCAGATTCTGAATGTGGATACAAGATTTTCATATGCTTGTGTACAAAATTGTGCATATCTCTCAGTTTTTTGGTCAGATTTTGAATGTCAAAGGTTCCTATTGAAGTCAATAGATGGCAGCAAAAGTCTGCCATTGTTAACTGTGAAACGTACTGGTACATTCATGCTAATCTGAGTGGAAAAACCCAAAATGTACTAGTACATTCATGTTCTTTCTGGCTCACCCCAAGCATGAACATACCCGTACGTTCATGCTGCTCAAACGTTTAAGTACCCCGGGGCACAAAAAGTTCTCATCTGGGAGGGGATGAGACAGGAATTACTGGGCATTAGAAATTCTCCTCCTGGATGTGTTTTTTTCTTAATTTGTTTTGCTTTATTTCCTCTTTATTTCTCTGGCACTCCCGTGGCAGTGGAGGTGCATTGACCCCTTAGCTGGCATCCCTAGAAAATCTCCATGCTTTTCTTATGAACTTATTGGTGAAGGGGTTAATGAGGGGTGAGTTTTGCTGAGAGAAATGCATTCATTCATGCTGATCTATGGAAAGAGAAAGGGGTGGGGTTCACATGGGACTGCCATGGCCAGGCAAGGGGGAGATGACTGGGATAATGGGGTGCCTTACAGGTACATACCTAATCTTGAGTGGAAAGTATGTCAAATCAATTTGCTTGCCCACTTTGGTAGGGAACTCTGCTATATGCCCATTATGATCTGATCAAAGGAAGGTCATGAATTGTCTGTGATTTCTTCTCCCTTATTAGGTGCTTTGAGAAGTAAGCTGTACAATTCATCCTCGAGGGAATTGTACTTCAAGCAGTGTTTTGAGGAGGTGAAGAAGTTAGGAGAAGGCTCCTTTGGTGAAGTCTTCAAAGTCAAGAGCCGTGAAGATGGGAAATATTATGCAGTAAAGAGATCAAGACAGACATTCCGCAATGAATCTGACAGGTGAACATGCTCTGTCTTATATTTACAAGAATTCTCTCCTGTCAGTAGTTCTGTACAGATATGCCTTATTGAGTGGTGCTTAATTCATTCTTAGGAGGAGAAAGCTAGAAGAGGTGCAGCGCTATGAACGTCTTCCCTCACATCCAAATTGCGTTCGTTTTTATTGTGCATGGGAAGAACGATGGCGTCTTTACATTCAAACTGAACTCTGCATGATGAGCCTTGATGAATTTTGCTTGTCAACTTCTGAAATCCCTGAGTACCTCATTTGGAACTATCTAGTCGACTTGCTCATGGTGTGTTGTTATGAAAATATGGAATGATCTCTCATGTTTCATTCTTGTGACTTGTGTCTCAATTCCTTACTTGGTGATGCTTTTCTGTTTATTTCTAACAGGCTGTGAAGCATTTGCATGAGCACCAAATGGTACACTTGGACATAAAGCCAGAAAATATCTTCCTTACCAAAGATGGATTTGCCAAGTTGGGAGATTTTGGACTGGTCTGGGACATGAGGGTGAGACAGCCTCTCTTCCAATTTTCATCTCTTGTGTTAAAACTGGATGATTAAAGGAAGTATTATTATGCATAGATTCATGAATTGTCACAATAGGCCTTATTTGGGTACCTCCACATCTGATGGTTGGCAAACATTTCCAGCATGCATAACAGTATTGTACAGCAATGGAAACATGTTTAGCATGTGTATGTTATAGCATCATATGTTACATGGTATAATTGGGCCTATTATTACATGCATTCAAATTCATCCTGGTGCTATATGATGAAGAAATAATATTATTTCAAAAGCCATTGTAAATTGTTTTTTTTTTCGTCACAATATTGGAGTCTTAACAGTTTGATCTATGGTTAAATGATGATCGAGGTGTGGAAAGCAGGGGAAAGAAGAAACATCTGATCAAATAGGTTTTATGCATGTCCAGATTCTCTTCTTAGGTTATTTTCACCTTGCTGTTCCTCTCCCTAAAAAAAATATTATATTGCTCAAATTAATTTTTTAAATGCCATAACTAAGAGTTAATGTTTTAATCATGTAATTTTACAGAAGGGAGATGATGCATCTGATGGGGATGCAAAATACTTGGCTCCAGAGGTGATAACCGGGGAAGTGACCCCAGCTGCCGATATCTTTTCTATTGGTATCACCATTCTTGAAATGGCTTCTGATCTTGATCTCCCTGGTGAAGGACCAGCTTGGCATCTCCTTCGTAAAGGTTACCTCCCAGATCACCTACTCACTCGTGAGTTTCACTAGAATCTGTAAGTTACACGTTTCATGTGGCTAGTGGGGTGTTAAGTTCACTCAACAGCTTGCAAAGGTATTTGGATTATACTAAGTGGAGATTAGATTCTTTCTTTTGACCCATTGAAAACCAAAATGGACTTGAGCATGGGTGGTGGTGGTGCCATAGGTAAAAGAGAAGGAACATTTTCTAATACATGAAAAGAATTGCAGATATATCAGAGGAATTGAAGAACATAATGAGGAGGATGATGAATCCAAAACCATGGGATCGACCACTGGCAAGAGAACTTCTCAATGAAGCTCCTTTCACTAAATTGGTCAGGAAAAGGAAACTCCTCTTTCGATGGATCTCTCTGGTGAGTTCTCCATATCTGACCTTACATTGTGAATCCTGTCCCACCTTTCCTTAACATTTTTATGGGTACTAGTATGGCAGATGCATTCTTCTAAATGCTGGAAAGAAGCCAGCCAATCTGTTTTATATTGGTGTGCATGTTCACTGCATTATGTGGTGCCATGTACAATATCCTTACAGGACATGGTTCCACATAATGCAGTGAATGTATCGAGGTATAAGACCATGCTGGCTCAGAGCTTTTCCTTTACCTTTCCAGTACATTTCCTTGAGATAAGCTATGGATTCCCAACATTGGAGATTGAAGATGATGCATCTATTTTGAGAGAAATTTTATTGCAGAATCATATTGGTAAAATTTTCATTTGGCACTAAAATGTTTCTCATCCTCATGAATCAAGCAGCTAAACCTACTCCTTTATTCCCAGGTTTAGGAAACACTATATAACTAGAAAAGGCCTTCTGTGTATAGTAAGTGTAGTAGAAATACAATTCCAATTGCTGCAAAGATGTGGATTTATCCCCCCAAGAATTATGAAAAGTTGATGATACGCTTACAAATATTAATCCTGGAGCAAAGGCATATCAGCTCATAAACACATCAGAGATTCATTGCTAGATGTGCCTACAGCTTTTAGTTTTTCTATGAGAATCTCATGTTGAAAAGGAATTTCCTACAACCTCTTTGTAGTTCAAGTTCAAGGATTTAAAAAAATGCAGTAAGGAATGAGTTTTAACCTCTCCTCTACATTGCCACATGACTCCATGATTGCTCTGGAGCACTTCTTGTTCTGGTTTGATGCTGTTTCCAGGTCATTTTAAATGTAAATTAGTTTTAGTGGGGTAGATGGAACTGCGAAGGCAGTTCATTTTTCCCTGCCCACCCAACTTATGTCTTCTATCTTTTCCACAAAAGCCTGAATTTTCTGTACTTGCTTCATTGGGGAGTTTTTCTCTGTGTTCAATGAATATAGGAATATCAAATGCAAAGGCTTCCAGAAAAGCAACTCAAGATGACCTCATGTATTATTGTGTCCTTGAAAAGTGTTGCAAGTTTTCTTGGGTCAAGCATCCTTTTCTTGATCTTCTGTTGTGCTGTTGTCTCCAATGACCACCAACTGTTTAATTGACCAAGAGACATTGGGATGTTCAATGTCTCAGAATTCATATTTTAATATTGAGACATATTCCACTTCCCTCCTACACCTTTCGATTTTCACATTTTTATGGGCTTTTAATAGAAAAGGAACTTGACATCTTGTTATAAAAAGTGTCACTGCTTACCTGAAAACAATAGTTTATGCAAGAAAATGTCATATCATGGTAACTATTGAAGATAGTGGTTATATGCATAAATAGCTGTGAAATAACCTTGAAACAGTGAATTTTCTGAGCCCAAGAACATACCTGGGCTACCACTACACAAACCTAAATATGTACTCGGGCGAACAGCCAACGGGTTAATGTCTTTATACCTATGATGCTCTCAGGGTGGTTATGTTAGAAGACCAGCTGCAGCAATTTAGCCTTCATGTTTTCAAATTGTTGTTGATCTTTTGATGGAGCAACCAGCCTCTAAACTCATGAATTCTTGAACTTGATGTTGGTATTTGACATAAGTGCCTCATTCTAGTAACCAGCTTTGACTGGGACAATCTCTCAAAGATGAGGGATATTAGACAAGAGTGTGCTCTTGAACCAGATGGCAATGTCAGAGGTAATTGTCTGAAATAAAATAAATATTCATATCTCTGGAATGAAGTGATGTATTTTCAAAAAGTTTAATACAAATTGGACACTCATTGAGTTTTTTTTAAGGAGGTAATCAGTCTTAATGTGTGCATTTTTTGTAGCTAGTATGCATCCAATCAGCACTTCACCTTGAGCCAGGTGTTTGTCAGCATATCAGGGGTGATGGTGATAACTGCAGTCATTATTTGGTTCCAAACTGAATGCAGAAACGCTTATCAGATTCTTAATCTGATAAACAATGTTTCCACATAACCCTACAGAAAAAGTCTAATGGAGTTATGTCAGGTGACTGGGGGGGCCCAGGTTATGGATTTAATTCTCCTGATCCAATGGTTCAGGAAATGCTGGTCCAAAAATGCATGCACATTGCAGTTGAAGAGTGGGGATGCCCCATCTTGCTGGAAGATTGTGTCATCAGGCAACTGTGGGATTGCAAAGTTTGGTGCTATGAAGGATAGAGTGATTGCAGGTCAAGATTGACAGTATGGCACTATTATGTGACAAAATTATTGCTGCAGTTAATGTCACAACTGACATGCTGATAAACACCTGATGCAAGGTGGAGTATTGATTGGACATGTGCTGAGCTACAAAAGGTGCATGCATTGAGATCGATTAACTCCCCTAAAAACATGATAAGTTCACCTCCCATTTTTTTGTAAACCTTTTGGAAATACATATCTTAATTCCTGAGATAAACTTCCTTTTTTTTCACACCTTTCTTGGACACTCTATATATTTTAAATTCTTAGACTGACTTCCTCAATCTGCTGGATTTTAAGTGAACTCAACTGATGGGATGAGGTCATCCTTGCTTCTGGCATGAAGTTGGTGCAGTCCTAGATCACTTGAAATTTTATGGTTGGTATTTAAAGACACACAAAGTTTAATTGGGAATTTGCAAATGCTAGAGCTTGCTGTTATCTTTTAAAGTTGAAGACCACCTACCTGAAACTGATATTTGAAAGATCTCCTGTTAATGTTGAGTTGATACCAATGTTCATCTTTTAATGTGATGACCATCAAATTTCCCTTTTAAATTCCAGGTTAGACATTTACATTTTGAATCAGCTCTGATGTTCTCTGTGAATACTACCCCTCATTTATGACATTCTTGGCAAACTTTTGTGATGGAATCAACTGGATTGATGATTATGGTAATGGCATATGTTAACCTAGATTTCATGCAGGTAGGAAATTGACTATTCTTCCTTGTACTTTCTGATCTCTCTCAAGTAGTTCTGTCATCACAATGATGGTTCTTCTTTCCAAGGCTACCCTTTGCCACCTCTGGATGTTCTTGAATATTTGAATCCTATCTTTTGGGAAGTTACATGGTACTAACTGTACAAAGTAAAATTGAGAAAACTTGGGTGAAGATGCATATACATGTACCAAATGGAGGATTGAATAATTCTCAGTGTGGCAGTCTTTTTGTGACTGGAGCATTGCTATCAGGTCCTGACTTACAAACACCTAAAAATAGTGTTTTCTTTGCCTGATGCCTAATTATGGTGACAGGGGAAGTACAGAATTTAGTTTTCAATCAAGTTCAAACATTTTGGATTCAGTTCAAGTACTGGCTCAGGATTATCCTCACTTTCAGATTTTCTGATTCAGATCAGTTTGAGTGTAGGAAGACTTTGGGTTTAGTTCAGTTCTGATTTAATGAGTCAACTGATGAAGAGTTTTGAGGGATAAAGAAGAATTTACATTCTGATGGGCAGTTAGTCTGGGCAGCTCATGAGGTATTACTCTATTCTATTGCAAGAGAAACAGGAAGTGTTTGGGTTTGGGTGGAGTCCATTTCAGGTTCCATTCCAATCTCTACTCCGGATGATGGAATAAAATTCACTGATCCTTGGAGTATTGCACTATGCAGAGACAACTATACCTAAGAGTAGAAGTTCAACAGGGGCTACCTGCATCATGCCCTAGTACAATTTGCTGATGATGCCAGGAATATTACATGCTATTCCACAATTGAAACTAAGAGAAGATGTGGCAAAACTCTATTCCCAATATGGTGGCCATGCCTGCTACATCTTATTGCCTAACTCTTTATGGATCTCTCCCTTTTGTACTTTGTTTTTGTTATCCCTTTACAAAGCTTCAGATGCAATATGAATGTAAGAGGGAAGCTTTATCCTTGGTGACTTATTCTTTCTTGAGGATTGAGGATTTGGAATAGATACTTTGGTTGTCCATGTTTTTCAGGATCAGTATTGTTTTTGGGTTGAGTTCATCATTTCATTTGAGGATCATGGAAGTATAGGATCTACCTATTCCAGTACAGTGGCTGTCCTAGCAAGACTATGCTTAGATATATGAGATCATATAAAGATTCTCACAAGCTTCTGCATGTAAAAGAAGGGTTCAGCATATACCAAGATTAATGACTTTTCGTATGCATGGTATCTTTTGATGTAGAATTCTTGAAGATGTGTTGTTCTCATGATGGAAGGATCGCCCTTATGTCTCATATCCTTAAATCTTGTGAGGCATTGATTGGGTTTGTGAAGTCCTTCCCAAATCATGTGGTGTGAAATTTTGACAGAAACTCCCTTTTGCAGTCCTCTGCCTCAGTAATCTATATTTAAGGGCTATTTTTCTCATCTGGCTTGTGAGCTTTCATTCATCTTCATGTCCTTTCACCAGTTTTGGTTACTTTTACATGAGTTTTTCACTCTCCTTTCATTTCTATTACAGATGACAAAATTTTAAGATAATTTTTGGTTTCTATTTCTTTTTGCCCTCAGAAATGCTGTTTGCATTCCATTCTGTTATGGTTTTGGTATTGCTTCTTCGTGATCCTGGGTCCACTCATCAGGAAAAGATCAGGGGATCTTCCTCATCCACAATCCTCTAACTATTCTGAAAACCAAGACAACAGCTTCTCAGATGGTAAGCCTAAGGTTCTTTGTAAGATTTAAATAAAGTTGATACCTCTTAAGTTAGGATAATATAAGAAAAATCAAGCCTTACATTCTTCGCCCTTTTTTTTTTCTTTAGACAGCCTATACCTTCCTTTTTCACTATACATGCAGTAATTCAAAATCATTGAGGGTTGAGGAAAAATGGCAAGAAATGAGCAGCTTTTTGGGTTAAGGAGGTTAAGGAGGAGTGCAGTGATTATGTTAACTGAGACCAATGCAATGTCCTAGGTCATTGCTAGTGTACAATTATCAGTCATCGAAGTGAATGGAGACAATTGGAGAACCCAATCCAGCCACCCTTTATTTAGATATAATTCTACTGGTTGAAGTTCTTGGTCTAGGTATTAAAGGGGCTGTGACACATTTCATGTACCATTGTCTCAGCCCCATTAGGCAGTATTTTGATTTTGATATGAGGATGAAGTAGAGATGTCTGCCTGCCTTTTCTAGAGGAGAATGACATGAGCGTTCAGACGCACAAATCAAGTGAGAGTTTTTCATCATCATCAAGCAATGGTGTGACATTCAATCTGGACCCAAACATCTCGTCTGGGGGTTGGAAGCCCCAACATCCGCTTCCATTAAATTCCACTCCACTTCGAGCAAACATGACAGAAGGCAGAGTGGCACCCAATGGACTTCTCACACCCACAACTATAGCCAGTGCACAGAAAGGGTAAGATAACTAGAAATCTTTCTGTAAATGTCTTCCTTTGCAAAGTATGTGAGGAAAAAAATTTTAATGTTATTTGCTAGGTTCATCTATGAGAGTACACCAACTTCCATTCGAAACAAGAGTCGGTTTCGACTGCGATTAGAGACTCCCTTGCGAGATGGTTCCCCAGAACTCCGTTCTGATTCCAGCGAGAATGCAAGCAGTTCAGGGTTTTTTGAAAGGGAGGATTCTAGACCCACTTTTCAAGCTTTCCAGCCTCGCAACCTTTCTGACATTTTTAATTCCACTCTTTCTGATGACGAATGAATCTCTTGGGATTTTTCTCTCCCTGTACCCTTCCTACTTTTTCCTTTATTTTTTTATATGTATATTAGTGGATGTCCTAACCTGACTCATTGAAGTTGACTGTGAACATTTGTGGTTATGAACAATTCAGTTTCCCATATTATATTTGCTACTAATTGATATGCATGGTAGTGGGAATGTTATAATTACTGAATTTCTGGATTTACAAGTGATTGACCTCATTGTGCCTGGAAAATAGGGTATGGCAATAAATGCAATTCTTGCATTGTTCATGACGTTTTCACCTGTCATACCAAGAGATAATCATTAAGCTCTCAAGAAATTTGCCTCACTGCACTGAACTTTATAGTTTTCCAAATTAAAAAAAAATATCTTTTTGCTATTTCTCCTGAGAAAAGCTTTTAGTTAGGATGATGCTGAAAATAAGTAGTGTTCATATCTCAGTCATGGACAGAAACCTAAACAATTTATGGAGACATCAGTTTTGTTGTCCCTTTTGCTTATCTCTGCTCATTCTTCTTCCCCAGATTGCTTCTCTGTTTACACCATGCATCATGAATTTGCTCAACTTGTACCACATTCCCCAGTCATTTTCATGAAAGGTTAACTTAAATATTCCAAGTGGATGATGTGTCTTTTAATTGCATGACTAATTTGATAGTCACAAATTTGATGTCAAAAGTCATGCTCCCTTCACATGAAACTGGATGTAACTGGTATTTAATCCGTTGTAGGATTCCTTGGACAACTTAATCTCAGTCTACTTAAATGAGATGAGTTCAGCAGGTGAATTTAGATGATGTAAATGTGCATTTTTTTCAAATTTCTTCACCTTTGCACAACTATCCAATTCTATGATTCTTGTATCATATATGGACAGGTAGGGGTGATGAAGTTTTGCATGGCAACCAGCATTCATGCCATTCAATGAGGGTGATTCCTTTTGAAGGAGTTTCACTATATCATGGAACCATTTTTTGTTTGCCTCTTCTGAGGATTGAAACCTCAATTTTCCTCCTCAGTAGATGATTTTATGAACTTGACACCATGTAAATGAACTGGAAAACTGTTCTTGTTTACAGGACCCTATGTTGTGTGCTTATGTGGAAATTGAGCATTTTTGATTGGGTGTCCTCATTGTCATGATTTTCCTGCTTTCAGCATGGCCAACCCCTTTGAATATTGGCTTTGTGTGAATTATTTTAACCATCAAAGAAACATATTCTCTAATCCAATTTCACTTCCTCACCTGGATGTAATTATATAGATATATTATTATGACCAGTTCCATCTGTCATTGTGCAGTTTTGCGGTGATGGATGGTCATTGAATAAGAAGGGCAGTGAGACAGAAGTATCCCTAAATGCAATACTTATGCTTCTCCAATCTTGACAAACATTCTCACAAGATAAACCTCCTTCAACATGCTGAGTGATTTGTCTCCCTGTTGGCAGATTTTTGTATAGGGACTGTATAAACTCTGGCTTTATTCTTAAGATTCAATCAAGAAAAGCCAGGCAAGAGTAGTGTGCATGGTGTGTTACCTTATCATTAATGATGACAGTCTTAACAGAACATATTGTAAGAAAATATCAGAGCTGCACAAATGATTATGACTCCTCTGTAGAAGTGGTTGGTATGGCACTGAGCACTCTCCCCCCCCCCCCCACCCCATGCAAATATTTGGGAAGAAGAATTAGATTTAGTACCATTTTTATGTCAAAATTTTGTTACATAATGTAATTCTTGCTCAGTTTTGAACTGCACAAATTCCATTTCGGAATTGCACATATCTGTTACAACTGCACATTAAAATATGCCCTGCAGCCTTATTCAGGGTGTTTGCAATGTGCACGAGGATCATTCTTACGACAGTATTTGAGGATCTAGATTTTTATGCAGAAACATGAACTCAATTTATGAAGGAAGCTGGATTTTTTTTTCAAGGTCATAGGTACTGGACCACATCTTTTGGAGGGTACTATGCTTGCATTTCTGATTGTCTTAGCTGCCTGAAATGGAGAGAAATTGATGCTCATTATATTTTTATACCACTAATCATCCTATTAGTGAAGCAACCAAGGCTGACTGGGAATCAACCAGAACTGCCTCTTTGAGTGGCATGTTCCTGGACTGTTCACCGTGATACCCTCTGCTATCTTTGTACCTTACATCCAAGATATGATTTCTCATGGAGTGAGGGAAATGGCAAAAATAAAAGATGTTGAATGCTTCCTTTCTTCCCTTGCAACTTGATTGTGACATGTTCTTGAAGCTCTGAACTGAAGCAAGTATGAGAAAGCATATTGAAGAAGAGGGAGGAGGAGTGGAAGTGGATGTAGAGTACATCTCAGGTGGGTGTAATCCAAGTCCAAACTGTTCTGACTGGGGGAAAAATGACATCATCATCTATGGTTCCTCCCATTCCATCTCTCTTGCCTTCTCACAGGTAAGACTTCATGTTTCACTTTATCTGACACTTGACTCTTATTATCAACAGATTGATAGTGCAGGGTGGGTGGGAAGTCCCTATACCCCTGGGATATTAATCATCCAGAGGATCTCTGTGAGCTCCATCGTTGATACATCGCCATGTCCTGTGAGACTTCTACCACTCCATTTAAGTGCCCTGCAATGAGCCCATGCCTCACTACTTAGAACAACTTGCTGTGGGGATGCATCAAAGAAATTGTGTTGATGGAGCACTACAAGACGACTGAGGAATAAAAAGATGCTGTTCATGACACATTTGCAAAAATTCAACCAAAAGACTGCAAAAGATGTCTCACAGGACATGGAGATGTATCGTTCTGTGCCATGACAATGATGGAGCTCACACATACCCTCTGGATGTTTAATATCCCAGAGGTATAAGGACTTCCCACCTACCCTGTAAATTCATACTGGGTCCATACTACCTGGAAATGACTGCCAGAATACCAGTGACTGTCATCCCCCATATATTGTTTTCCAAGATGATTGCAGTATAGCTTTTTATGAAGATAATGTGCTGTTAGGAGAATAGTATTTGATGACACTCATCATCCATATCATGTAGACTTTACATGGGCATTATTTTAAAGAGAGAGGAAAGTGGAGTATGTATTGCAGAGAACAGTATAGGATAAAATGTATTCCTGTGAGAGTCTACTCCTATAGTTATGTTTCTTTGCCTTCATAGCAAGCCATTTGTAAGCTCATTTTATATTTTAGGTAGTGTTTGTAACTCATTTTCAGCATTCTACAGGGTGACACAAAAGTTCTGTACACTCGGTTATCTCAACTTTTTATAATCATTTTTAAAGAACTCACAAATGGGGACAACGCTATTAGAAACTACAACCATTTCAATAGATAATGCCGCAAATTCATTCAAAATGACCACCTTTTGCTGTAACACAATCGCGAAGTCTCTTTCGGAATGCATCGACTGCGGCACGCAGGGTTTCCTGGGGGATTTTGATCCATTCCGTTTGAAGGGCACGCTTCAGGGATTCGAGAGATGCATGGGGAGTAGCACAGGCTTTGCTCTCCAAGATGCTCCACACGCAAAAGTCCAATGGGTTCAGGTCTGGACTATAAGGAGGCCATTCTGCCGAGGTGATGAAGTCAGGGAATTCTTTTCTGCAGAAGGCCTGAGTGATTTTTGCCTTGTGGGCTGGCGCAGAGTCCTGTTGGAAAGTCCATTTGCGGTTTCCGAAGTGCTTTTTGGCCCAGGGCATTACAGTATCCTCCAGGATAAGGTCACGATAGGCAATCGCGTCGATCTTCATGCCAGACGGCACAAAAACCAGGGGCGTGCGCCCCTCTGCAGTGATACCCGCCCACACCATCACAGAAGCTGGCATCTGTGTTCGAGAGACACGTCGGAGGTCTTGAGAGATACCTGACGACTCTGCTGCCCATACTCGATCATTTTGAGAGTTAAATGATTGCTCGATCGTGAAGAGCTTCTCGTCAGAAAAGAGGATATTGCGATGGCAGCCATCTGCGAACCGACGGAGAAGGGCCTGCGATCGTTGCAGCCTAGTTTTCTTCGCTTGCTCCGTGAGATGTTGAGCGTTTTGGAGTTTGAAAGGCCGAAGATTCAGCTTGCTCTTGACAATTCGCCGGAGCGATTCGCGATTTATCTTAGTCGTTTGGGCCATTTTTCTCAGCGATTGCTTGGGATTTCGACGAAGCCGAGATCTAACCCTTTTGATGTTGGCAGTGGTTGACACAGACTTCGGTCGACCTGATCGATGACGATCTTCTGTAGAGTTTGTCTCAAGGAACCGCTGAATTGTACGTTTGATGAAGTTCCGGTTGTAGCCATTGTTCTGGAGCAGTCGGAAAATCTCGGTGGGAGACTTCCCAGCTTCGTGCAAACTGATCACAGCCGACCGACGATCTTCATTGGACAATGGCATGACGAAACTGATAGTTTCATCAGCACTTTGAGAATCCCCCAAGTCGCGCGTACCTTAAGCTACGTGTAGAAACCAAGCCAAGCATATATGAACGTGGTAGCTTAGAATCGAGAACAGTTTTTTAAAGTGTACAGAACTTTTGTGTCACCCTGTATTAGTGAAGAATATTGGTGGAAGAATAGTTGAAATATTACTGCAGTTTTGAGAAGTTGATATCTGGTTTCACTCAGAAGGGCCACCTTGCATGCTCTTAGTAATATGTCTTTGGCTACAAAATGTATTTTTTCACTTTTGGAAACTTCCTCTCCATTCCTGTCTAATTTGAAATGTGAAATACGATCACTACAATCTCAAGAATATTGGTGGGATTTGAAGTTTGTCAACTGGCAAGTATTCCTTGAAATCATGGTATCGGAGAGGAAGCTTGACAGAGAAATAATATGACTATCAAGAGCTTTAGTTTCAGCACTCTTTTGCTTCGGAATGGATTGTATTTGCCAATTCTAGGCATTTCCTGCAGCTTGTTAGAATACATTTTTCAAAATGAGAATGAGAATCTACAAAACTGTGAAGAAAGTGTATGGTTCCACCTTTAATTCAGCTTGGATGGTGAAAAAATGTCATAGTTAAAATTTGTTTTGATTTTGTTGATTTGAAAGATGTCACTTAAACCAAATGCTAGAATGTCTGTCAGTTTATACAGACACATGCCAAGGTTCTTGTGATTCAAATACTGTTTCACTTGTATCACACTAATCCAATTGAAAAGCATGCCTGAGTGCCTACTCTTGTCAAGGGGTACAATAAAAACAAGTACTGATCAAGTAGCTGCTATTAATTGTCTGATTAAGTCCAGCTAGAACTTCTCATCCATGTGAAAGCTCTACTTGTGACATCTCAATGCTGCAAGTCTGAACTTCAAAGAACATGTCAGCAGCAGCACATTTCATGCACTTGTCAATCATTCTGTTTTGAACTCTGGACAAAAATCGTAGCATTTTCTGTAGTTGAGCGAAAAGGGGTTTCTGAGGTTGAGAAAACCATCATCAGTTTTTTTTTCCCTCTGAAATGGGAGAGGGTGGCTCACACTCATCGGCAATGGGTGAGGTTTGTGTAGGGTTGCCATGCTTCGGACAGCCAAAAATGGATGCCTTCTGTTTGGACAGAAGTTTGAAGGTGTAATAGGAGGACATGTCCAGGAAAACCTGGACATATGGTAGGTGGTTCCAGGTCACTTCTTCGACGGACACTTCCTCTGCGCCACTTCTTCGACTGGATACTGGCCACAAAGAAACATCCCGTCGAAGAACTGTTCATTCGAAGAAGTGGCGCAGGGGAAGTTTCCATCGAAGAAGTGTCTTTCAAAGAGGTGACCTAGAACCATAGGATGCCTTCTTTCAGGACAGAAATTTGATAGCGAAGAAAAAGGACACGTCTGAGAAAAACTGGAGGTATGGTACTCCTAAGTTTGTGGGGACTCTTACTTATCAGGGCCCATCTGACTTTCTGAAAATTAAAAAAAATGGTGGAAAACTTGAAAATGATCCTCACAATGGATGTCCACTGGCTGCAACATGTGGCAAAATTATTGACCTTATGGCAGTGGCGTAGCGAGGTTGGGATGGGCACTGGTGCAAGGAATGAAACGGGGCCCGCTGTCCCATTTCTTACTATTGAATTATGTGGGAGTCATATTTTTTTGCTAGTTTTCTCTGGCAGCATATACTGTAAATCGTCGTCGGTAACTGAAGTCAGTGTGGAAGGCAGTGGCGGATACAGAAGTTTTTCATAGCCTGTTTCCTATTTCCCAGCCCCGTCCTATAGCCTTATTCATTTTTCGTCTGGGGTAAAAACCCTGAATATCCATTTCCCATGAGCTAATAAACATTAATTTATGTGTTTTCTAAATTAAAAAATAGACTGCGAACTTGGACAGAGGAGGGCAGTCCTCCCCTCCCCCCCATGCCTTCCCCTCTCTTCGTAGCTTGGCGTCTGGGCCCCCCTGGCCCGTGGGCCCCGGTGCAGTCGCACCGTCTAAGAATTCGGTAGCTACGCCACTGCCTTGTGGACAGCATTGTTATTGAATACAGGTGTTAATCAAGTAAGGAAATAATAGAAAATGTAGAAAATATTAGTTTTTCAGCTACCTGAGATGGAAAAAAATGAATATTATTAGTGTTCCGGAATAAAGATTTCATTCCTCTTTAAGACTATGTCAACGTTAAATTTAAGTTGACGACGAGAAAAAGAATCGGTATGTCAAGCTACTTTGTGGACACCCTGTACAACCCTAAAAAAAAATCCATTTCCTTCATGATAGCCAATTCGACTGCTCCAGCTCCCTCTCGAGAAATGTACTCCGTCCCTGGCTATCGGACTTGTCCAGAAACACTGCCCCCTCCGCGATACATAACTCCTTACAACTCCTTCAATCTGTCGTTAACCCCTTCCGACCTGGACCACGTGATTCCTCTCTAGTCTTACCGGCTTGGGATCGCGCATACCGTCACCTGCACCCCCAACCTTGCCTCCCGACACGCCCTAATATCCTGCTTCAGCCTGCCCATGATGAGTTCAGAGCCAGACTTGGGGACTTGTTGGTCCCAACGTGAAGGACCACAAACACTTCCTCGGCTGACTCGGAGCACACCACTGATCCGACATTATCCCTAATGTGTTCAATCCTAGTTTCATATATACACGTTGTTTCCCATTTTGCAGTGGCTACAACAAATGAAATACCACACACTTATTGTTCCTTGCTCTCTTTCCAATTATGATTTGGAAGATGCGTGTTGGAGGCCAGTTGAATTCCCCATCCCATTAATCATTACTTCCATTTGAGTCCAGTCTTGGTCTTTGTTCCCTTGCATCTTGCATTTCCAATCGCATTTGGGATTTGACATTTATTGCTTCTCATCAAGAACCCTGAGATTACAACAAATATTGTTTTTCCATGACATGACACTTATTATGAACATTGCTGCATCATACATCAACATGCATAGGGAGGAATGGCCAATTCCTTGCACTGTGCTTGTAACATGAAAGACCTTCATCATTGAAATGGACATTGATCGTCTTTCCTAGAACAATGTGTATGTGGTGAAAGAGACACTCCAGGGGCACAAGGGAAGAGTGAACTGTGTGAAATGGATTCGGAGGAAACACGGTGCAGCAGAATCGGAGTTCGTGTCTGGTGGAGCAGACTCACTTGTGTTCTTATGGAGCATGGACGGCAAAGATGTTGGTTCTATGCGTTCCTATGCCCTTCAAGGTTGCGATGCACCTTTTACTCGTCCCCACTCAGGGTCGGACTGGCCTACCGGGATATTTCCCGGGGGCGCCCCCCCCCCCCCCCCCCCCCCCCCCC